TTATCAGACATACTGTGAAAATGTCCTTATTCTGTTAGAAATCATTTGGGAAATATTTAAAAAAGAAACGAAAATTCAAAGAGAGGCTAATAATTCAAACAAGATGATTAGACATTAAAAAAGCAAGTAATTGCTCCATGAAGAGGTTATGTTTTAATCTTAGATTGGTCTTACGCAATCACGTGATGTGATTTTGCGGGTTAGAGTTGACCAAGCTTGAAGTTTTCAACGCCATGAACTTCAACACTTTTCGCTTGAGCTTGCGTTTCCGGTTTGTCGCATGTGTATGAATGAAAGACTATGGGGCGAAAAGTGCAGTGTGACAAGTTTCACAGTGTTTTGCGTTGCAAAGTTCAAGTTGGTAAACTCTGACTCTGAAGTTGTGAAATCAAAACATGACCTCTCTGTTCACATATGTAAAATATGGACCTATCGATAGCTTTTTAAAATGTCTAATCATGTTGCTTAATCCTTTTCGCAGCACTGTACAACATAATTTCACATACTCAAACTCTAGTGTGACCGTGGCATTAGTGTGTTGAAGTAGGGTTGGAAATAAACAGTCCAGGAACTGGATTTGACACTCCCAATATATTGAATTGTTGTTTAATAACAATTTTAGTAAAAAAATTTTTTTATAACTAATTCTTATAGTTTTTTTTACTCCTGTAGTGGCAGGGCAAAGTTTTAAGGTCAGTTACATAACATATTTTTTTTGATATCATGCTAATATGCTGTTTTAGCATAAATACATGAATACATGCATGCAACCTTACTATCATTTTCAATCAGCCAAGCGATGTACTGAAGTGAAATGTTTGGGCTAATATCAAAAAATCTGAATTCCCTTCTTTGAAAACTGAAACCTTTACTAATACTTCTTCTGTAGGTTGTTCTATACATTATCTCTCAACATAAGTTATGATGTTCATTTATGCTTATTTTAGGGCTATAACTTGTAGTAAAGAAAGATGAAGATTTGGCCCCCATTTGACCCACTGAGGCCATAGAAAGTGATCTGCTATGTGTTAAAGAGCACCAACACAACATTTATTTTCAGAGTTTCACGATAAAATTGAATAAGGAAGCCAAACCTTATTCCCATCATGGAATGGCAGGAATGCTACATTTTATTTACACATTTAAAGTACTCTCCATAGAGAGACTGATCTTAAGATTTAAGAATCTATAAAATTGATTGAAACTAATAAATCAATACTGTCAGTTCAGCCATTGTCATAGTCCACAAAGCTGACACATTTACCTGTTGTAGATTATCCAGGTTGTGTACGTGAAATAGATATCGAACACAAATAGATGCTAAGTAAATGTCCCTGCTTTGGTCTATAATTCTGTCATAAAACTTAATTTGGCCTAAAAAACTGCTGTTTTGAAAATGTTTGGTAGTCAAATGCCAGTGCGTCCTTTCATTAGTAGAACATCATTTATTTTATATACAAATCTTTTGTAACATTATGAATATATTCAACGTGACTTTTGATCATTTTAACGTCTCTTTGTTCAGTAAATGAATACTTACTTACTGTACTTTCAAACTACAATATCAAAAAACTGTGTTCAGTGTAATCAGCAAATGTATGATGGGATGGCTTTAAATTCTTGAAACGGGTGTGAAAGTTTGTCAAGATGGTTTTCAAAATAAATGAGGCACGCCTCAAAACCAAGTGTTCTCTCTGCAGAGACAGCATCCTCTTTATGAACACATTTGATGCCCATGCTTCCTGGTTTTTCAGACATACTTGCCATATGGAGGAGGATCATGTTATGGAATTTGGGGTCTGTAAATGGCCTGTCCCCTGTAATATGTTTCTTATATGGCTCGTATTAGTCCGCTTGATGTGCGTTTTGTGGTTCTGGGGAAATCTTTTGAAATCCAATATGGCTTTAAATCAGATTTATAAATGTTTATGTATATTATAAGAAACACACGGAGACAGCCTGACGTTAGTACGTAAGTGTATGCGTGTGTCATTATATGTCACTGTATATTTCTCAACGTTAATCTTTTCAATGTGGTGGAGCTCCAGCAAACAGCACCCACAGAGGAAGGCAGTTACTCTCCATAGGCATGTATACTCATTTCGGTGAATGTATACAACTTTAGACACACTTGAAACAGCTGATAAAATAACAGTCTGGGAAAAGTATTGACTTGAATGGAAAAATACTTTAGTAATATATAATTCATTCCGATGGAAGGAGGGACGTTTTCCCAAATAAAAATGTTTCCAGGCAATCTGTCTCTTTTAAGCAGTTTGTTCCCATAATCTCACTCGCATTGCTTATATACAGAACAAAATGTTATTCCTTTGGCATATTTCTGTGTTTAAAATAAAAATCTGATTCAGATAAGCCAAAAAAAGAAAGACAAAAAAGAAGACAAAAAAGAAGAAAGAAAGAATAGCATTTTTATGGCATATGTAACTCTTCCAGATCTACTGCCAACATGGGAGGCAAACATACTAACAAAGATGCCAAAGACTGCATCAATCAGGGGATTGAGCTTTACCTGCACAGTTTTTAGTACATGACCTCTGTTGCACTCACCCTTCTAAACCTTATTCCTGTTATGGTCAGGGGTGGACTGGGACTAAAAATCAGCCCTGGCACTGTAGCCACAACAGCCCACATTACGACACTGACACACCCCCATGCACGGACGCGCACATTCACTACTTAGATTGGTGTACAGATGGTGAAATAATATAAGCAGTACCATATGTAATAGATATTTAAACATTTAATGTATGTGACTGGAACAAAAACAACCCATTTATAACAAATTTATATATGCAATCATTTCATTCATTCATTTTCTTTTCAGCTTTGTCCCTTTATTAACCTGGGGTTATCACAGCGGAATGAACCGCCAACTTATCCAGCATATGTTTTACGCAGCGGATGCTCTCCAAGCTGCAACCCATCTCTTGAAAACCTCTATGCACACACAATCACAAACATGCACTACGGTCATATAAGCCTACCCAATTCACCTATAGCACCTGTGTTTGGACTTGTGAGGGAAACCAGGATGAAACCTACGCAAACTCCACAAAGAAACACCAACTGACCCAGCCGAGGCTCGAAATAGCGACCTTCTTGCGCCACTGCGCTGCCCCCTTTCAAGACTATTTCATTTAATTTTATGCATTTGGCAGCGTCTGAATTTAGAAACTTTTTTTTTTCTCTGAGCTTTTTGGCACTGCCTTTAATTTTTATGCATTATCTCTGACAATTAGCTTCTTTGTAGCTTTATTTGACATACTTGCCAGATTTTTGATTATGTCCGGTTTACCTCTGATTTGTCGGCCCATCTCAAAACCATCCGGTTGTTGCCGATTGGGCCAATGCTTAACATTTATTATTATTATTATTATTATTATTATTATTATTATTATCATCGTCATCATCATCCTCATATTATTCACATCTTGAAAGAGATAAAAGCTGCCTGCATGCAAAAACAATACATATAAAAAAATTTATTAAAAAAACTGACCGGCCCACATTTAAAAAATGGTCCGGCCCTTCTGGCATTTGCCAGAATTGCCAGATGGCCAGTCCGCCCCTGGTTATGGTCATGGCACCAATGCAATCTGATTCTACTTGCATCACCACTATGATCAGTAAGCAAACATATATTTCCAGCATAGGAGTCAAGACCTTAACAAGTAGGCCAAAGACCATAGGGGTGTGCCAAATCGCATACTGTACTTATGCACTATTCTACGCCATTTTGAAGTATAAATAGTGTAGGTAGTGCATCACACTAAAAACTCTAAAAATAATAAGTGCACTTGAATTATCCGGATAATGCATTTATTCAACTGGTAAAACAAGTGTGGAATGTTGGACCCTTCATGCACTCAACAGTTGCACTCACGTAGCGGAAGGAGCGGAGCTATCGGCGCTAATATTGGATTACTTACTATTTATTTTGGATTGTGAAAGCAAAATTCTCCTCCCGATGGTGAATGTGGTTATACCCATGGCGGATATTATTTGATAGTTTGGTCATTTATTCCACAAAATTCCACAACATCGGGAAAATGGTTTGAATTTCTGCTTAGTAAAAAAACATTAGTGTTCCATTTGGGACGACACTACATTCATATACTATTGCTCTTGAGTGTGTACGTGCATGAGTACACATAAAAGTGTATAGTTTGCCATTTGGTCATGACAGTTGCTAATGCACCTTTTGAGACCCGGGCTTCCTTTTCACTCAACCCTCTAAATCTCACTCTCATCCAGGTCATGGCATCAGTATACTTTCTCTGGTTTTATTTGCGCTGCTTTAAACAGGATTTGACATTGGTGGTGGCACATTAACAAGAGTGCCAGATACTGCATCATATGCTAGTGTGCCTCTTGAGGCCAGATGAGTAAGTAAGGTTTATCCGCACAGCTTATAGCACCTTGTCCTTTCTACACTTCTAAATCCTAAACCTCAATCCCATCCTGGTCGCAGCACCAACACAGCCACACTGATTCTACCTACACCTCCACTGCACTTCACAGTTTTTTCTTGCATGTGACGCGGGTCATGATTACAAGAAGATTAAAGCTCTCTGTTACACACACCAGACAAAACAAAAGGGCAGGGAAGTGCTGACATGACCCTGAGCCTTGTGTATGTGGGAGCATTTAGAGCCAAGGCAGCTCAATAGCAGCATGCTGAAAGTGAGTTGCCTCCAGCACAGTGTATGCAAGGCTGAAAGGCAGAACTGAAGTCGGCCTCTCAGACTCAGTATTCCGCAGCATGGCACTAATGCTCCCTGGCAGACGCCAGCTTTGAACAGTGTTGCCCTGTGGGCATCTGGTGCTGTTGAGGCACTGCCAGGGAGCCTCTGTGTTTAAGATCTCTGTTTACTGACTCTGCTGTGAGCTTAGACTTGAAAAATCATGTTTGAAAGCATAAGTGAAATGAAAAGCTTTTAACTTCTCTTAACCATCCTCTCTCCCCTTTCTCTTTCCAGGGATCTGGACAGGAATAACATCACCCGGATCACCAAAGTGGACTTCTCTGGCCTCAAGAACCTGCGCGTGCTGTAAGATGTCACTCTGTATCTCTCACTCTCATGGTTAATCCATCCTTTAACTCCCAAGTGCCCCTCCTCTTCCTTGTTGTCTTTATAGTCAAAGCCATCAAAGGGTTCGAAGCTGAAAGCTGGGAGGATTACAGCACAAGTAATAATAAAACAAACTGACATTTCAGCTGAGTAAATCTGACACATTTAACATGACCCTGTGGCTGAACCTCAAATGAAGTCATTGCCCTAGATTTAGTCAATCTTCAGACATGTACGTGAGTTTGAAGAATGTTTAACAATATGTGCCATATTAGAAACATGAACTTTAAAAAAATGAATAAATGATAGATGCCATTTGGACAGTGGGGATCTAGTGAGTTAGTCTCCTCTAGTGAAAGTGTTTTTGCAACTTAATGACTGTAATCATGTGTTTCTCCGTGCTGTTTTCTTCCTGAACGAGAACCCGTAAAGAGAGAGGAATGGAGATAAAAATAAACAAGTGAAAAAAAGAGGAGTAAAATAAACGCCCAAGAGAGCAGTCGTAAGCAGAGGCAGTGGCTGGCGGGCAGCACAGAGGCAGTTAAAGGTGGTTTGTGATTAACGACCATGGCATGCACCAAAAGCAGACTTTCTCTCGGGCCCTGGTAATAGCTTGGACACCCCCTTATCTCTCTGGATAACTTGCACCATGATCCCCTCCATCTGATAGCATAGGACAAGCATCCAATCATACCAATGCCCTCTCTTACTCATAAGCTTCACCCTCTGACATTGAGTTTTACAGTGTGAACGTTCATAGAGAAGTGCAATTTATTTATTTTTGAGGTTTTATGAGTATTCGTCCACATTTCCAAAGCACCAGAAAAGATTTTTGGGGAGTCACAGAAGATAACATTACTTGACTTAAAGATGGTTCGTCCAAAAATAAAATTCTGTCAACTGCCCGTATTTACTCACTATTGACTTGTTCAGAACTATTTCATTTGTGTTTTTCTTTGAAAAAAAAAAAAAAATGTTTATGAAGAATGTATATTGGATACCTGGTACCATTGACTTCCATAGTATTTGTTTTTTCTCTTATGGATATTGGTTACATGTTTGCAACATTCTTCAAAATATTTTCTTTTGTGTTCAACAGAACAATTAAACTCAAACTGGTTTGTAACAAGTCAAGGATGAAGGGTGTACGTGTATTCGTTCGGTACGAGACTTTCGGTTCGGTACGCAATGCAAACCGAACGACTCGATTCAGACTAATATCTAAAAAGATAAAAGAGATTAAGTACATAATATAGTGTTTTCAGTGCAACAACCCTCAACATGGCATCCCAAATGACGTGGTAGACAACATGCTGCCTTCGCGTTGTCATGTTAAACAGTAGAACTCAGAATATCACATTATTAAAGCATGCACTCATTAGCAATATTGCTGCTGTGCTCGTGCTGGCTCCGCCCACGTTGCCCCAGCAACCCTGGTCCACGACACAAAACAGCCAATCTCAATAACCTGTTCGCACTACACCCGCCCACCTCCAAACGCTACTCCAGTCAGACACGTGCTACGCTTGTTCGCAAAATGGCTTAAATTGTTAATGTAATCCCAGACATCCCAAGTCTCCCGGAAGTTTCGGGAGTCTCCCACAAATGCAAAGAGATGCCTGCAAACGTATCATAATCTTCCGGAAATTGCGCGTCTGCAGAAACCCAGAAGTATAACTCAATCATTGTTTAAAGTAAAAGAAAAAACAAACAAGATCATACTTTTATGATGTTACTTTTAATACATAAAAAAATTAAATCAAAGAAACCCTCTGGCTTTTTTCTTTTTTTGCGGTATCGAAAACGTACCGAACCGTAACACCACTGTATCATGTAATATAGGAATAAATGAAGATTGACATAGCTGCAATATAATTTATTTAAAAATGTAGATTAAATGGATATACATCATAAACACACTCACTATCCTTCAGGTTAGTCCCTGATCTATCTGGGGTCACCACAGCGAAATAATTCACAGATTAGATATATATTTACAAGCCACTTTATTAGGTACACCTGTCTAACTGCTTGTTAACACAAATTTCTAATCAGCCAATCACTTGGCAGCAACTGAATGCATTTAGGCATGTAGATATGGTCAAGATGATCTGCTGCAGTTCAAACTGAGCATCAGAATGGGGAAGAAAGGTGATTTAAGTGACTTTAAACATGGCATGGTTGTTGGTATTTTTGAGAAACTGCTGATCACTGGGATTTTCATGTACAACCATCTTTAGGGTTTACAGATAATGGTCCGAAAAAGATAAAATATCCATTGAGCAACAATTTTGTGGACACAAATACCTTGTTGATGCCAAAGGTCAGAGGAGAATGGTCAACCGAGATATGCAGAAGAGCATCTCTGAATGCACAATACGGTGAACCTTGAGGCGGATGGGCTACAGCAGCAGAAGTCCACACCGGGTGCTACTCCTGTCAGCTAAGTACAGGAAACAGAGGCTACAATTTGCACAGGCTCACCAATATTGGACAATGGAAGATTGGAAAAACGTTGCCTAGTCTGATAAGTCTCCATTTCTGCTGCAACATTCGGATGGTAGGGTCAGAATTTGGCATCAACAACATGAAAGCATGGATCAATCCAGCTATTTACCAACAGTTCAGGCTGCTGGTGGTAGTGTAATAGTGTGTGGGTAATATTTTCTTGGCAATCTCAATTCAATAGAGCACCTTTGGTATGTGGTGGATTCAAATCATGAATGTGCAACCAACAAATCTGCAGCAACTACATGATGCTTTCACATGAATTTGGGCCAAAATCTTTGAGCAATATTTACAGTACCTTGTTGAATCTATGCCAAAAAAGGATTAAGGCCGTTCTGAAGGCAAAAGTGGGTCCAACCCGGTAATAGTAAGGTGTACCTAATAAAATGTACATCATATTGATTTATTTAAATATATTATAACATGTACACCACATTACATTTGCAGCCTGAACTAATCTTCCCTTTTAATAAAACGATTGAATTATATTATCTGCACCACATTTATATCATTTTATAAATCTTATATTAGATTGTTGTTAAATGAAACCAGCAATAATCATGATAAATAAACAATAATTATATGCTAAAATAATTATGCATTGACCATACCTGGAGACATAGATCTGTTCTATTCAAAAGTCCTGTGGGAAGCGCCATCTGCACTGACCTGAACTCTGCCTATAAACCAGCACTTGGTTAGTGCTTAAGGCAAGAATAACAAAGACCATCCCAGCAAAACCATGTGTGTTGCCTCACCCTTTTAACTGAAAGGTCTTTTGCTCTCCTTGTCAGCCCTTGTGAAAGCATAGGTGTTTGTCTGTGTCCCATATGTTTCTATGCAAAACTTCAAAACATTTTCTATAAAGACAAGAATGACAAAAACAGAAAGAGGGAGAGAGATGCTAAAAATGAAGAAAAGAATGGTTATTATTCTTCAGCACACACCAAAACCCATCTGGCCGGGATCGAAAGGGATTATGTTTAATGCGAATACATAAACCACGGTGGGGTTGATCCCCCATTTGTAAGAATGAGCCAGATAGTTACACAGCCTCAGATTTATGCTAGATGAAGAGGTTTGTTATCAGCGAAGAATGCAATTATTATGAACAAATCAATTTAGGCACACCCTGTGGGATCGCTTGTGTTTTTGGCCCTACAATTCTGGATTGTGCCTTAAAGTGTTATTCATAAAATGGCCTTTAGCATAGCCAAGTGTCTCATCTCTTTTTGACAAAATGTGGATTATGGTTGTAAAAACAGTTGCATGTCTAAACATTTGCTTAAAAAAATATATCATAACCCTAGAAAGCGGATCTCCACTTTAGATGGCACTTTAGTATGTTTTTCCCTTTTTTCTGGAGAATTGCTTGTATTATCCTGTCCTGAATATAATTTAGTGGCTGTGTGATTTTTTTTTTCATGTCTCTGCTCGTTTGTTCTAATTCAAAGAGACTCAGATATAAACAAGAAAAAGCCATGGAGATGTGATATCTTTGTAATGCACACTGTAAAAAAACTTAAGTCAGTACAACAACAACAACAAAACATAATCCTTTTTTCCTTTCTCTTTTTCTTGTTCACCTAACTTTTAAAAACGTCAGCTGCACTAATCGGAAATATTTTTAGTAATACAAAAGATGTTTAGTAAGGTTAACATAAAATTATTAGTTTTCTGGTGAGGTGAACGTCTCTGAACGTCAAAACTTTTTAACTTATGCACAACTGAACATTTTGTTTGCATAACTGGTATGCCTAAAATTGAGGGAACAAAAAACTCATAATCCTTATTTCCTTTCGTTTTTTTCTTGGTTACTCAACTTTAAAAAAACAAAAAATATCAGAAGTTAAGTAATAATACATCATCAGAACAGACAAACAGTTCAATTAAAAAAAGGAGGCAAAACAACAATAATGGTAAACCAGACAGTGATCAAAATATTGCAGGACAAACAGGGAAAAATGCTTTGTAATGCTTCACAGGAAAAGAAACAAGGCTCAGCAAAGAGTCTGTGAATGTGGTGTCTTCATAGTCCTAGTAATCAGTCCATCATGAGATAAATACAAATTAACAAATTAATCAACAGTTAAATACAAGTTAACAGTCCACATGCACTAAGCGTTTTTTGTAGAGTGAGGAAAGTAAATGTGAGATGAAAGTTCACATTAAAGTCTTTCTGCTGCTGTGCTACCCCCCCCCCCCCCCAAAAAAAAAAACTAACAAACAAACAAAGATAAATTACAAATGAATAATAATTCCAATCACATTAGCATTATTGAAGTAATATTTTGTTGTTGTTGTTGTTGTTGTTGTTGTTGTTGTTGTTAAAAATGGCATTACTGTTATTATAGGTGTTACTATTATTTTTGTTGTTGTTCTTAGGGTTAAAAGTACTGCAACCTTTATTCTTTCAATAAAGGAAATCTGAGATTAACTCAACTTAAAATAACTAGTTGGCAGAAGCTTTATTGGGTGAACTTGCAATGTTTTGCTCACAAAACTAATCTTTTTAACTGAGAAAACTTGTAAATGTAGTTGTTCAGACATTTTTAAAGATTTTTGCCAAACCAGAAAAAAAAAAAACAAGTAATTTAAACTTTTTTCAAGTTGGATTTTTTACAGTGCATCTGGAAATTTTTAATGACCCTGAAATATGACAACGTCTTCATAGTGGAGAGCACTTAATATACCCTCCGGAACATCGTCACATACATGCTGGACACAAATGAGGGTCTTTTGAGGCAACCAAACACTTCATCAAATCAGAGAAATCTGCTCTGTTTTTCAGGAGAACAGGCTATTTGTTTATCATTTGCTGCTATGACAAAGCAAAGTCATGAGGCCCTCTAGGTTTCTTTTAACTGTCATTTCAATCACTCATAGAGGGTGATCACTGTCCGCTGAAGTTGAATCTCCATAACTGATTGAATAATGAAGTCTTCTTTTTTTTTTTACTCCCACAGACATCTAGAGAACAATCAAATAAGTGTGATTGAAAGAGGAGCATTTGAGGGTCTCAAACAACTTGAGAGAATGTAAGTATAAAATAGAAGAAATGATTGCACTCACATGCTGTCATAATACATAATCCACATGTTGCAGTATGTGTGTTTTTGACAAAAGAATTTGTAGCTGTTTATGAGCAACACATTGACCTTGTCGGTATTAATCTGAAACATCTTCACAAAACTGAGAAGAACTTTTAAGAGGTTGAAGGTGACCTCCATAACTTAATTTTTTTTAAAGTCTAGTAGGTTTATGTGCTTGTTTGCCCTCCTGACATCTGGAGCACAGCCATATCCTTCTTTCTGGTGAGAATCTTAACACTTCCCAGTGAAATTGTCCATTGGGTCAGACCAAACATGCTAGCTATTACTGCAGTTGGACAAGGTCAAAGAATGTCTGGACTGTGGTTTGCCTGTGTTAGCATCCTTGAGTTTGTTTATGTGTGAATGTCTGAGTGCATTTCATTCCTTGCAAATGTTTGCACGGTTCTGACGGTGTTTAACCGAGTCTGTTAGCAACTGCCGCCACATGTTAGAGATGAACGTACATCAAAATCAGCAGCAATCATGAAGTCTGATTACTACCTCTGAAAAAATGTCTCTAGTAAGTTTTGCGGGTCTGGTTTATCAGGGTCTGGAGATCTACATTCCTCATTGTGTCACTCGTACTTGGAATTTCACAGCGTTTGACTCAGTGACCCAATGGCGAGACAGCCAGTGGGTCCACTTGAATTCCCTCCATTTGACACCCGAGTGTGACTTCTTGTTGTTATTGTTGTTGTAACCCAGCAGACATATAAATAGCTTGGCCGTACTATGAGAACAAGTGCTCTAGAATTAATGATAGAGAATAGTTTCTCATAGTGGCTTTACACAGTGCTCAAAGTAGGATTGCCTTGTTTATAAACCAAGGTTCACAAGATTGGTAACTCCTCCCCTTAATTCTTCATACTCTAACATCAAAGCATTTGAACTGAGGTCAATGACAAAATAATTGTTTAATGTATTTGTGAATACAGTGAGTTGTAGTTTTACGTTATTCTGACCAGATTTGTGTGTAGCACAATTACAAAAAGCCATACAAGTCAGTCAGAATTGTGGTTGTGGTTATGTTGTCAAAGCAAGACATCAGACAGTTCTCTTGTAGGATTGATCTGCTTGAAATCTACAGCAAGGATGTAGATCCTCAAAAAAGATACTGACGTTCCTCTTCCAAATACCTTTAGTGTGCACCATGACCCTGCATCGTATCATCAAAAACCATGCTCCCGTGATAAGAGTCATCCCACCAAATCCCACAGTCCGTCTGGCCAGGCTCATGCGAGTGATAATAGCCTTTAAAGAGCTCTGCTAGAGATAACCTAGGCCATCTTCAGAGGAAGTACATTTATTTCCCATCAGCCCCAGCACAGCTGTGACTCCTGACCCCAGGATGTTGCTATTGGCCAGTCGTGATGCTGCTGATCCTGATAGCGACGCTGACCTGGCATGTTCCTTTAATCAGAAAGACAGATTGGCCTGTCTGTCTATCGTTTTTGTTTGTCCTGTTGTCTCATCCATCTAGGTATTCAGATGCTTGCGTGTCAGTGTATAAGTCAAACAACCTTTCCATCCTTGTTTCCCTGGTGTTCACTTTCACTTTGTGCCTCAGATAATCTAACTACACAAACACATACCCACTGATGTGTGCTATGCATAAGGTCATTCTCACGGTGTCTCCCACGTTTCCTACTGACTGTAGATGTTTTGGCCACACTAACTCTTGCCCTCCCTTGTCCTCTCTTCCTTACAGCCGCCTGAACCGGAACCGGCTTCAGGTCCTGCCGGAGCTGCTGTTCCAATCCACAACCAAGCTGAGCCGCCTGTAAGTCATGGCTTCTCTTTGATATCCCTGCCTGGAAAAGCTTGCGGTCAAATGTCCCACTGTTTTAATTTTGATCATTGTACTGGAAAGGATCTTGCTTAAATATTTGACTTTCCCAAACACTGTTTAAAGGACACTGTCAGCACAGGGATATTCTGTGTTATTCTTTCAGCCCATCCAGATGTGATTCTTTTAGATGGACCAGGGGTCCTAGCCAAGCTTAATTCGACGCAAACTCTCCCTGTGCTCTTGATAGGGAGGAAAAGGTGTGCTGGAGGGAATATTTTCCATGAATAAATGAATTCTTATTCTGAATATTTTCCTGCTCTGCTTTGAATCAGAGACGTTTTTGGCTAAGCAGTAAGGTAATACTTCATTTATAAATTTACAATTGTCAATGAAATATCGTGATGAGGTCAGGCCCGTGCTGGAGCAAAGGTTGAGCTTTACAAGTGTTTATTTGAAGCCATTTGTGAGACAGAAGTTACTCTAGAGTACCATTAAGCTCTCCAAGCAGATTCTGAAATGTTTCCATGAGCCAGTGAATATTAAATTGGTTGGCCCTGATCAGATTTGACACTTTTTACATTTACAGTAGTTTCTTAACTTGTCATTCACAATCTATTTCAACTGTTTTGCTGACAGACAGTATGGTTGGTCACATTATTTCATTAAAATGTTTACTAAAGAAATCATATTTTTCCAAAAGCTAATTTGGAGTTTAGTATATTTGTTTCCTACTTCCCTCTTATTTTAGTATTTGTAAATGTAAACTGGATGAAGGTTGTCAAGGGCAGGAGCAGATTATGGTGGCGCTTGTAACCTTGCCTTGTCAGGGTTCGTTACGCTGGTTGATGTTAGTGTGATATGAACGGCCTCACCCGTAACCTTCCCATTAAAAACCTCAAGCCTAGCTAAGGAAAGCAAGCCGACCGTGTCGCACACAGGAAGGGTTAGGAAAAGTGAGGCTGGGTCTAACCATGGCCAGCAGGACTGGAAACACTGACAGAGGTCAGGGAAAGGTAAAGAGCATGTTGCTGACCGAGGAAGGAGCAGAATGAAATGGGAGCAGAGGGTGTTGCGGATGAATAATGGGAAAGAGAGAGGATGCTAGCCGTCGGAGACTGAGAAAGACAGGACTGTGGGTCGTCGGGGAAAAGCCCTGCAGAGACGTGTGCGGTAACGACTGCCCGAGGCCATTTGTGGTCAGCACTCTCTGCAGCCTGAAAAGACTGCGGTTACAGTTACAGATTTCACTGTGTGGGCTCAGAAATGCACCGCATACTCAATGTGAGCACACTTACACATTTTATCCACAGGGTTGGTCAGGTTTCTAGAAGTATTTCCACCCTTGCCCTGTTCTTAGAAAGTTAGATGTTTCTGTCTAGCCATTGAAACTGAATAATGAAAAGTGAATGACGAATTAGATGGCAGTCTTGAACATGCCTGCTCCCATTTATTAATGGTGCAGCTAAATGGACTCCTATATTAACTTCAGTTCCTGTTCGGGGACTGGCCCCTGCACTAGTAATGTAGGATATTTCGGTCAGTGATACCCATGAGACTCAGCCACTCCCTGCCATTACCCCAAGCTCAGGTTGCACGTGATTGGTGCATTAGGAGGAATAGGGAAGCCGAATGCATCATCTTGTCTTATGTCCCCTTCCCCTCAGCCAATTTTAAACGTTCCCACTTTAATCTTCCGGGTGCAATTATCCCGGTAGAAGCGAGCAGTAAGGCAGCATGAAATGACCACTGAGCAGCAGCGATGGCCTTTGATAGCCACACAGATTTACCAAATCTTGAGTTTGCTTGTTTTGGGTGCCAAGGTTGGACTCTCTCTCTCTCTCTCTCTCTCTCTCTCTCTCTCTCTCTCTCTGAGAGCACATATTTGTTTGCATCACAAAGGAAATCTTTTGTTTCTCTCTTACTTTCCCTGACAAGTTTATTTTCCTTTAGAGCATTTGTTTTCTTTTATTTATATGAAACAAATCACTCTCCCACACATCAAGTTTTCTCCTCTTGTGCTCTGCCCCGCTCCTGTTGGCCCGAAGCGGTGAAATTCAGTGCAACAGATGGGCGGGGGGTCTGGCCCTCTTAGCCTTGCAAACACAAACCATCTCTCAGCTCCAGCTTGGATTTTAAACATGTCTCCAGAAGTCTGCAGTCTCTCTGAAACCATTTAGCTCATCGGTTCTCTTAATGAGCTCTACATGACATGCTTCAAAACAATTGCTGTGTTCTGCAGAGTGCACTGCACATTTAAAGCCAGGTAATGACTTCTTATAGCACAGTTAACTGATTGGTTGATGACTTATTAACTCTTATTGCAGATTTGCTTTGTAATTATTATTGAATGGCTTGCTTTCTCATTTAGATCACAAATAGAGCCTTTAAAAGAATGTGCTTGTTTGGGCTTTTGTGTACAATTACAAAGATTGCAGGCTGAAGCTTTGAATCCATAAAAACTTCCTGAAACAAGATGAAAGTACCATAAACCGGTTCCTGTGATTGTTGCTCTGTTTTCAAACTGCTGACAACCCTAACCCTAACCCTAACTGTGTTAGATAAATCAGTGGAAACTGAAGTCTGCTAAAAGTGGGCGAGACCCAAAACTAACTCATTTGTTGACAATTCTCAATTCTATTAATTCTAATTTAGACTGACTAAATTATGGCTTTATAATTGGGAACTTGTTTCTTTGAAAATCGGAATAGAAGAATTGTTCACACATCATCTCCTACAAGAGCTCTCATGAAAAGGGTGGGTTTTTCAGTTTGTTCCTCTCACATAATCATTGTCTTTAAAACACTTGGATTGTAGTGCATGATTCATATTAGCACTTATTTTTCTCGTCCTTTTTAGATCTTGAAAGTCCCAGCACTCATTTACTTTCATTATAATGATTTGCCGGCACTGACATGAGGGTGTGTGTAAATAATGACAAAATTTTCATTATTGGCTGAACCATTTCTTGGAATATTTGTGTTCTGAAAAGCTATAATGGAAACAAGCAGTTGTTGCTCTGCTGCTGTATAAATGGTGATTATTAAGTAATAAGGGATAATACTGTAAGTCTAGTCATTATATTGCTTCGCAAAGCGACACAGAGTTTGTCTACCCACAATAGCTGGCTAATAATTCAACATGCCCCAAGCACATAAAC